GGGGCTTTGCTGGGGCCATCATGACCTTCCATCTCTCTGACGGGCACAAGGTTATCCACGTTCCAGAGTTTCAAAACGCCCACTCCGCAGCCACTGAGCAAAACTGGTGGCCTGGCACCACTCCCAGGGCACAGACCAAATCCTTGTGTGCATTTTTTACTTGCTGAGAGAAAAAAGAAAAATTATCCACATAAGAGGAGCCTTCCAAACAAAATTTTCATATGAAAACAAGTTACAAAAGTTTTTACTGACAAGATTCGATACTTGGAACCCTGAATTGGCCTGGAAACTATAAAAATCATTTGGTATGCAATCACTCTTAGTGATTTAAAGAAATAAATCTATAATTTGCTCTGCATTTGCCTCACTAGTTATCATCAGTGTTATCAGCATTAAAGGGCTAGAATATTAAAAATCTATAGAATCTAAAAACCTGGAGAGTATATAGAATTTTTCAAATGTCATTTCCTCTTCAAAGGAGTAAGTATCTCACCTTTCTCTAAGATGTATTTCATGCAAGTTTGGAAACTTTAACCTGCTATGTAGTCTCTAAGGATTATCTCATAAAATCACTGCCTTAAATTTTGAACAAGAACATAGAGGCCTAAAGCTTTCTGTTGAAGGCTGGAGCTAAACTATACATTTCAAAATGAGTAGACAATAATTATAAGCTCAGACATTATAAACATAGTTTATGGATAAATATATTTCTATGCATAATATAGAAGTTACATCCAAGAATGTATATCTTTAAAAGAAAAACAATTGAATTTAATGTCCGCATCTGTTGCCACATTTTGTCTATCAACATTCATGCTTCTTGTTTATTTGCTTTTCATCTGGTTGTCAGCAGGAAAGTGACAGCAACAGCAGCACAAACGCACCCACATGGATAGAAGGGAACGCTGGAACCTGAGAACAAGTTCATCTGTAAATTAATTTCTTCCTCTGGGAATTAGGGAAAGCCACCAGTATTTGTACTGACAAAACACTTCAACCCAACCATCATTCTACAGGAAGTGAGAGATCCACCACTCATGGAGGTATGAACATGCTCTGCAGAGGAGGCAGCATTTACACTGCTATGACTTCAGCTACACTTATAATTCTTTGGAATGTGCATACCTAAAGCAAAAACAGAACAAAATGAGAAACTGTAACTGCTTTACTCTGAGACTGATTTTATTTAAATGATGAAATTCTACTTAGAGGCTCTTCAAGTTCCTATAGAGAGTACTGGTGACTTTGAAGCAACCAATCTATCCCATGCATTAGAAGGTCTTTTTGAGCCAGATCCCATTTCTTGATTCCATTGTCTCTGGACCCACTTACTGGGTTATGCCCTTGTATGGTTAGCGTTTCAGTGCCATCATAATGAGGGGGCTCGAAACTGTGGGTGGGACTCACAGTTCCAAGAGCACCTTCAGTTACACCAAACATCCAAATAAAAGCAGTCACCTTATTTAACTTACAAATAAGTACCTGTATGTGTTCATTCATAGAAATACATGAGATGTATATTAACCAGACATGACTTGTTTTGTTGTGATATTTTACTAAGGCAACTAAAAAAACCTGCCATGAATTACTCAGAATAAACCTGAGCTCTATTTTCAGATTACTTTTTCTTACATATTAGGCTTTTAAAGGCAACAATGTTTTTCACATATGAGTGCACAAATGGTATGTTCAATGATAAAAATACTGTTTATCAATCCAGTTGCAATTTAAATAAGTGATATGATGGTTAATTCAACACTGCTAGGTGGCTCTGCAGTCCTGCTGGTCATTGCAAATACCCCAGAGCTGCTATTCAGAACTTTTCCCTCCCTTCAGTTGCCCTCATCTCTCTCAGCTGTTGACTTGTGATGTCCTGCAAAGGCTAATGTGATCAAAAATAAACTTTCTGGACCCTCCTTCCAGTTACAAAAGTTTGCTTTTATCCTCAGACATTCTCTTATCCATCATTTCTTTTCAGCTGCTTCTTTCCAAGGTTCACATCTTTGATCTGCCTACTTTTTTGGTCTGATTCATCAATTGCCACCCCTTCTCTGTTCACAACTACCCTCTTTAAATGATTAGGGCATCTCCTAAGCATTTAAACACACTCAAGTCTATAGAATACAAAATCCTCTCCCCTTAACCACTCTCTTTTCAAGTCACTAACACATTTCTCATCTCTTAATCAAAGGTCCTTAAAAAGGGGCACTTATATGCTTCCTAGCTCTCTTTATCACTGTATCCTCTTTTATTCCTGTTGATTCTTGTAGGATTCCCCAAGGCTGAGTCATGTCAACTTCTTGCTCCTTTGGCCATGTAAACTACTCTAAGTCCTTGAAGAATGGCTTCTATTTGGCTCTGAAACACACATGTCTAGTTATAACTTATCTTGAGCCCTGGACTTTCCTTTCAAATGGCCTACTGGGCTTCACAAGGAAATCCTCAAACTTAACATCTCCAAAATCAAACTATGCATCTCTCCTCATCTTATCTGCTACTTGCATAAAACCTAAAGACAATAATATGTTCACTATAGATGATGGTGATGATGGGACTCAAGCAGCAGTTGGATGATTGAGCCAAGAAATCTTTAAAATCCCACACAACCTATCTTCTATGACAAGTGATCATATATATATAAATAATAAGACAACATCAGGAACTATGAGTGAGGAAGATCAGGAAGAAAAATAAAGGCTAGAAATGAGAAAAAAAGAAATCTGATAAAGAGAAAATGGTCCTAGGTGTATGCAAATACTTTAAATCTATCATCTAATAGGAAAATATAATTCAGCAAATCTATAATACACACCTTGACATAATTATCCTTGGAGCTGGTGATGATTAGATCTTGTTCATTGGAAATCTGATCTACAGTAAGACACATAACAGGGCCTAGGTGTCCTGTTAACTTTCCTGTGGACTGAGACCTTAAAAAAAAAAAAAAGGGAAGGAGGAAAAGTAGAGAAACTAACTTGAGAGAAACTATGAATTTTTAATTTCTGTGAACAACATAATTTGCATGGATTCTATATTTTTAAAATTTCTTAGCACTCCATGAAAAATATGGAATGTCTCTGAAATTCTTTCTTCGCATATATGGCTTAGAAATATGGAAATAAGTGATTCATTCTTGTTCTAGAATTTGAATGGGATGAAGCATTTCATCTCTTTTATGTGTCAAAGTAATAAACTTTTGTCAGAAAAAAAAAAAGAAAGTAAAAGTAAGTCCAACAGCAAATATCAGAATAAAGTTTTATTTCTAATGTAAATGGTATCTTTTGTTACATAAAAAATTTAATTGGTTAAAAAAAAAGAAAAATAATTTTGTTTGGTTTCTTAGAATGCTAAGGCTAAGCCTCAATAAAAATAATCTATATTCTTTGATAAAACTGCTCATTCATTTTCTTCTGATTTAACTCCACCTCTATACAACTCTGTTCAAATTAACAGTCAAAAAATGGCCGAACTATGATGGAAGTGTCAGAAGTCCTAAACAAGTTATTCCAAAGTGACTAATGTCATTCAAGTAGTAAACAAAAAGGCATCAAAAATCCAAAAACTTGCTACATGTTAATTTTAACTCCAACCTAAATCCAGGTAAACTTTAACCTGTTAAATGTCTGTACGTGTTATAGACATATGACTGATGTTATGAGGCCCAATGTGAAATTGGATTAAAACAACTATGTCACTGATATAACTAGAAAATAACAATATGGAGAAAGTAATATTACTTTTTACACACATATATTTTCACACATACATATACATGTATATGTACACCCATCTTATATACACATGTATACACGTATACACATACATGTATGGGCAATATGTGTGCACACATGTGCACCAGGAAGTAGGTAGTCCATTTCCTCAGTTATTTTAAAGATATGAAAATGACCAGCAATATATCTGACTGGTAGAAAAACATGATGTCAATTATCAGGGGGTGACAGTGAACCTTTGTTTCATAGTCCTGCCTCAAGTCAAGCTGCTGGGATGCAGAGATATATTTGGCTTCCAGAATATTACCATTTCTTGAACACTCTTTTCTTACTTTGTTAAGATGAATCAGTATTTAATCATGTTGCTGAAATCAGGCAGGTTTCAAAGGTTCTAACTTTTCAGCATAAAAGAAAATGTAAATATTTTCAAAAGCTGATCTTTTCTGCCTCATGTTATGGCTAAGTATCTTCCTCCATGGTGCTCTGACTACAAGTTTAATATAATCAAGAATTAACCAAGTCTTCCTCTCTTTCCTAATTTTCTTAAACAAGTATTCCTTTTATTTTTCTACCCCTTATTTTTAAAACAGTACTCAGGGCTGT